GTCCGAGCCACGAGTGCCGTCTTTGGGGGATGACCATGCCCTTCTGAGGCCCGCGCTGCAGAGCAGGCTTCTGATGGGGGGGGGGGGGGGGGGGAGGGCCAGGGCACAGAGCAGGCTTCTGATGGGGGGGGCAGTGCAGGGTCAGGGCACAGAGCAGGCTTCTGATGGGCGGGGGGGGAGGGCCAGTGCAGGGTCAGGACGCAGAGCAGGCTTCTGATGGGGGGGAGGGCCAGTGCAGGGTCAGGACACAGAGCAGGCTTCTGATGGGGGCGGGGGAGGGCCAGTGCAGGTCAGGACACAGAGCAGGCTTCTGATGGGGGGGCGGGCAGTGCAGGGTCAGGGCACAGAGCAGGCTTCTGATGGGGGAGGGGGAGAGGGCCAGTGCAGGGTCAGGACACAGAGCAGGCTTCTGATGGGGGGGGGGAGGGCCAGTGCAGGGTCAGGCACAGAGCAGGCTTCTGATGGGGGGGGCAGTGCAGGGTCAGGGCACAGAGCAGGCTTCTGATGGGGGAGGGGGAGAGGGCCAGTGCAGGGTCAGGACACAGAGCAGGCTTCTGATGGGGGGGGGAGGGCCAGTGCAGGGTCAGGGCACAGAGCAGGCTTCTGATGGGGGAGGGGGAGAGGGCCAGTGCAGGGTCAGGACGCAGAGCAGGCTTCTGATGGGGGGGGCAGTGCAGGGTCAGGGCACAGAGCAGGCTTCTGATGGGGGGGGCAGTGCAGGGTCAGGGCACAGAGCAGGCTTCTGATGGGGGGAGGGGGAGGGCCAGTGCAGGGTCAGGGCACAGAGCAGGCTTCTGTTGGGGGGGGGGGGGCCAGTGCAGGGTCAGGGCACAGAGCAGGCTTCTGATGGGGGGGAGGACCAGTGCAGGGTCAGGGCACAGAGCAGGCTTCTGATGGGGGAGGGGGAGAGGGCCAGTGCAGGGTCAGGGCACAGAGCAGGCTTCTGATGGGGGGGGCAGTGCAGGGTCAGGGCACAGAGCAGGCTTCTGATGGGGGGGAGGGGGAGGGCCAGTGCAGGGTCAGGGCACAGAGCAGGCTTCTGATGGGGGGGAGGGCCAGTGCAGGGTCAGGACACAGAGCAGGCTTCTGATGGGGGAGGGGGAGAGGGCCAGTGCAGGGTCAGGACACAGAGCAGGCTTCTGATGGGGGGGAGGGCCAGTGCAGGGTCAGGACACAGAGCAGGCTTCTGATGGGGGGGGCAGTGCAGGGTCAGGACACAGAGCAGGCTTCTGATGGGCGGGGGGGGAGGGCCAGTGCAGGGTCAGGGCACAGAGCAGGCTTCTGATGGCGGGGAGGACGAGAGGGCCAGTGCGGGGCCAGTGCGCAGAGCAGGCAGGCCAAGTCACAGGTCCGAACTCTGCCTAGTGCCCTTTGTGCACCTGTGGGCGGTATGGTGAGTGGAACTGGGCTCTGCAGATGTGTGGAGTCTCTCAGCATGGCATCAGTGTACATGTTGTGGCCAGCACGCATGTGGGTGTCAGCACGTGTGTCAGAATGTGTCAGTACACGTGTGGCCAGCACACGTGGTCATCAGCACAGGTGTCGTCAGGATGCATGTCAGTGCACACGTTGTGGTCAGCATACAGTCAACGTGGCATCAGTACATGTGTCATGGAAGGCTCGTGTGGGCGGCCGTGTTGAGGGGAGACAGCTGGGACGAGGCGTGGGCGCTGGGCAGCCCTGGCCCCAGGAGGAGGGGCGGGCGACCTTCCCCTGGTGCTGAGCTGGCACCCTTTGGACAGGCGTGGAGTGGGCGTGGGAGAGGAAAGTGAGCCTGCAGCTGTGGCAGGCCAGGGCTGGGCGGGAGCAGAGGGAGGGCAGTCGGCAGGGCTGCTCTCCGGCCTGCCGCTGCCTCCTGGGGGCTGGAGGGGCTGGAGAGCACCAGGGTCTTCCCCTGGCTGTGACCTCGGTGGGCCCCTCTAGCCAGCTCCCCCGCCCTGACTGGCCGCGTGGGATCTGGCGATGCGACGGCCCCGCTGATCTCCTCGGGTCCTCAGCTCGTTCTCGGCGTTGTGGTTAGTTACGTGACCAGACCCAGCTGTACCCATGGGGCTGCAGTCGGTGGAGAGTGCCGCTGGTGTCGGCGCAGCCTGGGTGCCTGTGTGGGTGGTGTCTCATCGCCGGTGTTTGCTCAAGTGGGAAGCACACTTCACCCACAGGGGAACCGATCGTTCAAAAGCCACCACAGACGCCGGGACCCAGCCCCGCTCCTGCCCCACTGCTGCTCATGGGAGGGGCTGCCGTGTGCAGATGGATGGGCCAATAAAGGAGCCCATTACTGCTCTGGGTGAGAGGCATCGACGCCTGGTGGTGGTAACTCGGGCAGCTGGCTGTAGACCATAAACGTCGGTGGGAAGATGCAGGATTTCAATAACACAGGCCTGTGCTAAGCCTCCTGTGCAGACCCTTCCCCGGGTGTGACCAGTTCCAGCTGGGTGTGCAGCTTCCATGTCTCATCCACTGATTACCAAGTCCATGCCAGAGTGACCGTGCTGGACCTGGCTCGTGAGATGGCCACCCCAGACACGGGGGCTAAGCCTGATGGCTCCCATTCCTGTGTGGGGACACGGCTGGAGCCCAGCTCAGAGCGGTAGAAACAGAGCATGTGTGGAGGACCAAGGTGGTCACGTGGGCCCGTTCCCAGGGGAGCGCTTGCTGCTCTCTGGCCCCTGCCCAGTGGAGGAGCAGGGGTCTGCAGCGGACCGTGGCTTTGCCCTTTCAGCCGTACTGGTGTGGCCCGTCCCCCCCCTTACTGCAGCTCTCCTGGGCAGGGCGGGGTGCCGGGGAAGACGGGGAACCTGCCTCTGGGCCTGGCAGGCACGAGAAGGGCTCCGCTGTTCTCTCCTGAGGGTCGCTGGCCGGGACAGCTCGCAGGCACCTTCTCTGTGGCCATGTGCGTGTCCACAATCGTCCCCAGGACCTGTGTCCTTAGCAAAGGACATGAGACGTAGGGAGGTTTGAGCACTGGCCCCGGAGCACAGCTACACCTGCTTGGGCCTTGGAAACACCACACTTCTTCCGGGGCTCTGCTGGCCGTAGCAGCCCCCACCCCACCCCCCACCCACCCCCAGAGAATGGGGCAGAACCCACGGCAGGAATGGCTCACGGGGAAACGCAGATGCACAGGCCCTCCCCAAACTGCTGACCCTACGTGCTCGTGCAGACTCCCAGTGCTCACGTGTGGGGGTGGGGGAAGCGCCCTGTGACCCCGTGTCCATTCACAGACCCCGGGTGCTCATGTGTGGGGGTGGGGGAAGCGCCCTGTGACCCCGTGTCCATTCACAGACCCTGGGTGATCACGTGTGGGGGTGGGGGAAGCTCCCTGTGACCCCGTGTCCATTCACAGACCCTGGGTGCTCACGTGTGGGGGTGGGGGAAGCTCCCTGTGACCCCGTGTCCATGGCACAGACCCCGGGTGCTCACGTGTGGGGGTGGGGGAAGCTCCCTGTGACCCCGTGTCCACCGCACAGACCCCGGGTGCTCACGTGTGGGGGTGGGGGAAGCTCCCTGTGACCCCGTGTCCACCGCACAGACCCTGGGTGATCACGTGTGGGGGTGGGGGAAGCGCCCTGTGACCCCGTGTCCACCGCACAGACCCTGGGTGCTCACGTGTGGGGGTGGGGGAAGCGCCCTGTGACCCCGTGTCCATTCACAGACCCCGGGTGATCACGTGTGGGGGTGGGGGAAGCACCCTGTGACCCCGTGTCCATTCACAGACCCTGGGTGCTCACGTGTGGGGGTGGGGGAAGCTCCCTGTGACCCCGTGTCCACCGCACAGACCCTGGGTGATCAGCGTGTGGGGGTGGGGGAAGCGCCCTGTGACCCCGTGTCCATTCACAGACCCTGGGTGATCACGTGTGGGGGTGGGGGAAGCGCCCTGTGACCCCGTGTCCACCGCACAGACCCTGGGTGCTCACGTGTGGGGGTGGGGGTCCCCTGTGACCCCGTGTCCATGGCACAGACCCCGGGTGGTCACGCGTGGGGGTGGGGGTCCCCTGTGACTCCATGTCCACGGCGCAGACCGGGGGTGGGGGGAGCTTCCTGGCTCACGGAGGCGTCCCTGCCTCTGTCTCATCGTGCGGTCTCGGAGAGCTCGACAGATGCCAGCGGGTAGGGGAATGGCCTGGCCTGGCCTTGGCTTTGAGGTGAAGGTTCTGCGTCTGGGACCCTAAGGGTCCTCAGCCCTGCAGCTTCAGGCCTATTTCTGGGATCCCCCAGTCTGGGGCAGGGAGGTGGCGACAGGCAACCCCTGGGGACGCCCCCGTCTGCCTCTGCGGCTGCTCCCTGGCTGGCCTCTGCTGCCGGAGGGCGGAGGACGTCTCCCCTCAGGGTCACGCCTGGCCCCTTGGGCGACCTCGGTGGGTCTGTCCAGTGTCCTCAGTGCTGCTCGAGCAGCTCCCGGGCCCTGTGCCCCTGCCAGGAAGCCCGCCCCGCCGCTCCCCGAGACACCCTGTTCTCTCGAGGCAGGCAGGGATGGGGTGGGCGCGACTGGTGGCGCCCTTGGGGCTCCAGCACCGTGAGCTGTGTGGGGAACAAGATGCTCACCAAGACCAGACTGCGCACAGGGGGAGCGGCGGGCAGGGCCAGCGTGGTGGGCTCCCCTCCCCCGCGGGGTGTGCCTGCCTGTGCAGCCTGGGCGCTCCCAGCCAGAGGCCACATTCAGAGCCTCGTCCTCTCCAGAGCCTGCTCTGTTCTCCTGGGCCTGGCCTGGTTGGGACCCAGAGAAGTGCAGGGCTGAGCACCCCGTGTGTGCTGTTTTTGGGCCTCGCACACCTGCTGCAGCCCCAGGCCTGGCTCGGACAGTGGGCACGGGGACCACTGGGCCCAGCCGTGCTTGGTCAGGGACCCCCGAGCACCTGTGCCCCTCCTGTGGGTGGCTGTGTTGACTGCTGAGTGTGCACCCGAGTCAGGGCTTTGGAGGGTCCTGGGAGGCCCCCAGGTGCCCCTGCTGCATCTCCACGCCACCCTCCCCCCACACTCACTGTGTTCTCTGCCCACAGGAGCGCGACGGCATGCGTGCCATCCTGGGGTCCTACGACAGCGAGCTGACGCAGGCCGAGTACTCGCCCCAGCTGACCCGCCGCATGCGTGAGGCCGAGGACATGGTGCAGAAGGTGCTGGCACACAGCGCGGACATGGAGGTGGGCCTGCACTGCACGCGGCTGCCCCGGTGACCTGGGGCCCGTGGGTTGTGGCTGTGTGCGATGCCATCTGTCTGCTGTGACGGGGTCCCGGCAGTTAGCCGCAAGCCGCTCGGTGATTGGGGCCCCTGAGGCCCATCAGGCAGCAGGCAGGTGGTGTGCTGCTGGGTGAGCAGCAGCCTCCACTGGGCAGAGCTGGTCTCCGGCGGCCCTGGGCCACCCCGGGCCGCCCTGGGCCATGGTCTCGCGGTGCTGGCAGCTTTGCCCGAGGCCTTGCTGCACCTGGGCAGGCGCTTCGGCCCTGTGCCTGTCGTCCAGGCAGGGGGCAGGCTGAGGCCTGGCTTCTCCCTCTCCTGCCCTTGCCCACTGCGTCATCCTGGGCGAGGCCTAAGCGTCATGGCGGACGGCTCCGGTTTTGGAGAGGAGTTTGAGCCACTGGCTCCGTGGCATTTGGGCCTTCAGGGCTGTCAGTGGCTGTGCTGACCACGCCCTAGAGACCTCTGATGTCACTGTGCCTCTCCTTCCTGATGCCCCAGGGCCGCCAGGGCTTCCAGCTCTTAGCCGCTCAGCTGAGAGCGCAGCTGGAGCGGTGCAGGCCCTGGGAGCCTGAGGCTGCTCCGCGCTCGCCCGGGCCAGAGGTTCCTGCAGACCGTTCCCAGCCCAGAGGCCGGAGGACTGGTGTTTGCTCTGAAGCCGCCTCTTTAGGGACAGCACAGCCCTTCTGCTGCCTGGAAGTGAGGCAGGGAAGCGGCCACCACGGGCGCCACCCTGCTGGTCGGCTGTCCAAGCTCTCGACGGCGTCGTCCGGTCCGATCCGGTCCGGTTCTCACCGTGATTCAGACGCAGGTGCTGTTCTCGTGATTGTGCCGGCGTGGAGACCGAGGCCCAGTCACCGGCTGGCACGCGGTGGCACTGGGTTTTGAGCACAGATCTGTAGCCTGCGGCCTGGCTGTGGGCCCTGCATTGCCGGCCTGGGCCTGAGGCTGCAGTTGCTGGGACCGCAGCCCTCGGCCGGTTGGTCTCCACACTCAGTGGCCATGCATGGCCGCCATGCTGGAGGTGGAGATGCACTCAGCCGGACACGCAGTGTGACCACGGTCCCTGCCCCGCTGACGGCAGCATCACTCAGCGCCTCTGCTCGCATTGCAAGAGTGGCGCCCAGGGTGAGGGGCCCTCGGGTCCTGACCGCTGGACCTGCTGCTGGCCACGGTGGTGCTGTCCCGCTGCTTCCCTAGCCGTGGCCAGTGAGTGCCGACGCGAGGTGCTGGCTCCAGCTGCACTGGGCGAAATCAACGCTGGTGTAATGCATTCACAACCGTTTTATTGCAATGCATCTGCTCCATGGGAAACGCTGACGAGGGGTTGGTGGGGAAGGCTCCGTGACGCCTCCTGTCGTCCCCGCACGTTCACAGTGAGGGAGCGCCCGGTCTGGTGCACCTGGTGCTTGGACTCAGCTTGCTGCAAGCCCCCCAGCCGGGCTCAACAGTGCCATATGCCCTGCGCCCGTGTGTCCTGGTGATCACAGGCTGTCAGCGTTGGAGCTCAGGCCGGACGGTCGCTGTGTTGGGGCCTTGCCGGCCCTCTCGGCAGACCTCAGCCATCGCGAGGTGGCCTCGGGGAGCCCTTGCCCCAGTCCCTGTCCCTGGAGGACCGCGTACTGACAGATTGTTCCCTTTGTCCACCTCCTAGGGTTGCAGGAGACACGTCTAGGAGGCTCAACTGGTGTAGGAACAGTCGCTGTCACTACAGCTGACCTCCTCCCACGTCACTTGGTTTACATGGTCAATCCGGGTGCAGGGCTGGGACTGAGCCACTGCCCTCAGCCCTGATCCACTGTCCCTGTCTCAAGCCGCCCCGACCCCGGCTGGTGTTAGGGTAGAGACGCTCAGCCTGTGCCCTGGCCCACGGCGCCGCTTGGCTTTGGCTGCAGGATAGAGACGCTCAGCCTGTGCCCTGGCCCACGGCGCCGCTCGGCTTTGGCTGCTGGAGCCGAGGCCCAGGCCTTCCCACCCTGCCCCTGGAGCCCGTGGATGTGCAAGGTGGCCCTGATGTCCTGCACAGTGCAGACCTGGAGTCCTGTCCCAGGCAGGGCGCTCTGAGCCTGCTGTCTCCATGGGGCGGGCTCCCTTCTACCTCTGACAGGAGCCCTCCCCCCGGGGAGGCAGGACTGCGCGCCACCCTTTGGGAACAGCCGTGGTGACCACTCTCAGCCAGAGTGGTCTTGCCAGAGAGATGCCTGTGTGCACTGGGGCCAGGAACCTGTGAACCTGCCTCCACCAGGTGGCAGCAGACAAGCCCCCGGGCTGCTCCCGGGCCCGGGGAAGGCCAGCCTGGGGTGGGCAGGGTGGGGCTGCCCTGAGAACCCCTCCCCTCCCCTGCAGAGGACGCCCTGGCTCCAAGGCCCCATCCTGTGTGAGCTGGAGTAGGGCCACCCCGGCAGCCAGTCTGTGACCCGCTGACCGAGCTGTGCCAGGACCCACGCCCCGGGCGCTGCTGCTGCTCCCAGCTGGGGCCTAGGGGACAGAGGGGTTGGAGGCTGTGCTGGCACTCACTGGAGGTGTGCTCCATCCCCGGAAGGGCAGGAAGGGGAGGTGGGCGACCCTCGGGACCATGGGCCCCGGTGCCTGCCCGAGGGAGCGAGCCCCTGCTGGGGGCCCCACAGCATTGGGCAGGTGAGCAGGCTGTGCCCCTCACACTGTCAGGCCGCCTGGGACAGGCACGGGGCAGGGGGATGTGGCCGCCCCAGGCTTCAGGCCCCGGGTTGCCTAGTCAGGGGGAAACCCAGAGCACTGTGGGCTCCAGGCAGGGTGCGGAGCCCCTCCCGCAGCCCCGCTCCCCCCGCCAGGCCCACTCCTCCTCTGGATCCTGGCCTCTGGCCAGCCAGTGGTGTTCTTGGCTGTCATGGGGCCACGGGCCCCCCTAAATGCTCTGGTTCCTCCTCACAGGTGGGGAGCAGGCTGAGCGCTGGGCAGGGCAGGACGGGGGTTCCTAGGACAGTACAGCGCAGTCCTGGCAGCTGAGGACGGCTGCACAACCTGAACCCACAGCCGAGGCCCAGCTGGGCCAGGGTCCAGGTCCTGATCCCTTCCTGCGCTAGCCTGAGCTTTCCTGGGGACAGGCGTCGGTGCGGACAGGCCGGAGAGGCGCCTGGCTTTGAACCCATTTCCCGCTGAGAGGAGGCCCCAGGCAGATGACCTCTGACCTCAGACTGTTCTGGGGATGCTGCCTGTGCCCTGACCTGCAGGCACCGCGCCTCTGGGCCCAGGCTGTTTGAGCAGGGGGAGGCCGAGGCGCAGACCCTCCACCTCTGCCCCTGCGTGTCCCCCTCCTCACGGCTCCCCCAGGGTGCTGAGCCTCGGTCCCCTTCCCAGGTCTGGCCTCCAGAGTCCCGGAGCTGGAGCCGCCTGGAGCGGCCTGCTGGGTGGCGCCGAGCTCTCCAGCCCCTGGGCCTTGCCCCGCAGTGCGGAGCGGTCGGCGTGGCCTTTGCTGTCGTGTCACGGTCGTGCTGTGTGTCGGACCCTGCACACGTTGAGCCTCCGTAGCTTCTTCAGGCCGCCTGTCGCAGGTTTGCTAGTTGGGTGGCACGTGCTGACGTGCGGCAGGAAGTTATGTAGCTTCACAGAGCACGTCCACTCCAGGCTCTGGAGCCTGCCCGGCAGCCGTCCGTCACCTGTGGCCAGGACAGCAGCACCATGTGGGGCGCGTGGCAGCTTGAGTCCCTCGGCCAGGCCCCAGAGTGGCTGCGTCGAGCCAGGGGCCACGCTGCGGCCGGGCAGGCTGCTCTGCAGCTCTGGGTCTGACCCTGCGGGTGTGGGAGGGGCCTGCAGTCAGCTAGGCCCCCACACTGCCGCTGCCCCAGCCCCACCGTTCCCTGTTGTCTCTTCTTTGTGCTGTCCCTGCGACTCCCGCGTCTAACCTTGTCCTGTGAGTGTGTTGGGCACTGGGGGGACTGGGGGCCTCAGGGGGCTTGCACAGACCCCCGCCCCTCTGGGACCCCTGCTTTCTCCCTCCTGTCAGCCTCCGCCAGTCACCCCTGACATGGAGGAGGTCTTGATTCTGGCAAAAACATCCCAGTGATACTAGCTGGAGATGAATTAGCCTGAGAGGGTCCCAGTAGCCTGTCTCTGGCAAAGTTTGTGCCATTTGCGCGGTTTTATTTATTCCGTTTAATAAAGCGGCTGCAGACGCTGGGAGCGCCTGTCGTGAATCCTGTCTCCACGGGGCTGTAAGCGCGCTCCGCCACCTTGGTTCCACATATCTGCCTGATTTGTATTTCCAATTTATTTAATTAAAACAGATTATGGTGCTGCCGGCTGTGTGGCGGTCTGCGGCTGGGTTCTGGACCTCACGGCTCCTCCCCGCCCGCCACGGCCGTGGGGCCCAGGTGGCGCCGTCTGTGCCGCTGTCCCTCTTGGGGCTGTCCTCCCCCTCCTCAGGCACGTACGTCTGCACCACCTCCTTCTCAGAGCCCGAGACAGCTCTGCAAAGCAGAAGGTAAACAACATGGGAAGTCTAGAAGCAGCGAAAACACGGGTGGGAAGCTACCTCCAGGCCTAAAGCGTCTTGGTCGGCGCGAACAGGAGGCGGACAGCCCAGACGTGGGCCGAGGGACGTGGCTTCACGCGGGCAGGCCTGACGGGGCTCGGCCTGGGGGTGCGTTAGGGTGAGGGTGAGGGTGAGGCCCAGGCTCCCTGGACCAGGAGGTGTTGGCGTGGCCCTGGCAGGAAGCACGGCCGTGCTGCCCTGCTCTGCACACCGCTTCCTGGTGTGGTTCTCACGGCAGCCCCAGGAGGTGGCCTCGGCCAGCATTCGCCTGCTGGAGGGTGGAGACCCTGGCCCTGAGCTCAGCCGTGGCTTCAGATGAGGTCCCGGCGGGGCCCTGCCGTTGGGAGGACCAGACGCCGTGGCCATGCCCACGCAGGCTGCAGGGGCCTCTTCCGTCACACTTGTCACAGCAGGCTGGGCAGGGAGTCACTGGCTCTCCCTTCCGTGTCAGCTCTGACCAGGGCCTGCCTTTCCCCCCGGGTCATGTGGGGCTGGTGCCTGGT